CCAAGCGAGCCGCTGCCCAACTTTAGCACCAGAGATGGCGAGAACAAGCCGCCAAACATCTCTGCTGTGTTCCCATATACTTCCAGCAATGGCTACACGCTGACAGGACGGACTTCACCACCCCGAGCCTGGCATTTCTATCAGAACACGGACCCGGAAATTCATCAACAGTCTCTATGATACCAGTGAGAACTCTATGGTGCATCCGCCCGACAAATGTCAGTGCCTGAGTCGGATGGAAACAAGTACAGGAACATGGGGCAAGTGCTGCCAGTTGCGGTATGGAGGCACGCTGATGCCATAGTGTTCATACAACTGTGGAGTGTTAACAGTGGGTGGGCAGGACCTGATGAGGAGGCTGAGGGACTACTTCCCCATCAGGTCTGCTTGCCTTGTGGGTGATAGCAGGCAGTCGGTGGACTGCATAGTGAACAGAGAGTCGGCTATGGAACCCAGTGTCTGCTATCAATCACTTGCAGAGTGAACCTGATGGGGAACTGGCCCCTCAGCCTAACCATTGCATTGGGCTCCAGCCCCTGTCAGCGTCACTGGTTGTTAGGGATGTGGTCGCTCCCTAAAGAGGGGGAGGGGGGAAGGGGCAGATGGGGGCTCTGAACCACCTTCTTATCTCTCACGCTCTGGGAGTGATCTCTCCTGACCAGGATTTCGGGATTGGCTGGTCCCATCATGGAGCTCTCAGTGGATGCAGCGAGAGGGCCCCTTACCCTTCATCCCAGAGAAAGGCAATGAAAGAGGAGATCTGCGAATGTTACACTTTATATGTACATTTATTTACACAGAAAACAGAAAGATTTTATTCATTCGCATCTCCTGTCCTAAATATAAAATAAAAATGTTAAAGTTCATCGACAGCCATTGTAGTTTGTGAGGGAGCGGTGAGGGGGTTAGAGCCCCTGTCAGTGTCATGGTACAGTCTGCGTCACTGCTGGAGAGACTAACTCACTCTGAAGGGGATAGGAAAGCCAAAATGTTACAGTTGTCACCAGAACAGGAAGTGAAAAGACACATGGCACTGGGGACACCTGTTTGGGTATTTTCCCTGATTTTGGAGAGATTTCCTGTTGTATCTCTGA